TTATTCGATTGTGTTCTTAAATATTTATTTTTACCTAATTAAATTATTAAATATCTATTTTCATTCAATTAAGTTTTCAATTGAACAAAAATGAGTGTTGACTATTAATCAATTTTTATCTAATAAGAATTTAATTATTGAAAATAGATGTTTAAAATTTTAATTAATTATAATAAAATGATAAAAATTTGAATAACTATTTGAAAACCTTTTTTATATGTATGCTTTTATAAAAGATACTGGTAATAGTGCTGTTAATAGATATGACATTCATTTGCCTTTAGTCCATGAATATAAAGTTTTAGCTGAGTTATTTGTGGAATATAATAGAAAAATTCTATGCACTTAAAATTAATAAATATTAAGAGATATAATATTATCTCAAATCCACTTATGTAATTATTTTTAAAAAAATATTATTCATCTCACCAATGTTATTATTTTAAACATTTGTACTCCCGGACATGATAAAAATTATTTATATAAACTCCACAAATTACCTAAAGAATAATTTCTCTAGATAAGAATTCAAAAGAAAAAAACTGAAAGTAAATTATGAAAAATAATAATTAAACTCAAAATAAAATCAAGCATGTTGTTTAGATGCATTTCAAACGGCCCAACAAATATCTTTGATTGAGATTGTATTGCAACCGTAGAAAGTTATCGTGAACTATTGACATATAATAATTTTTATCCCCCACCAATATAAAATTAATAGGAAACACACACTGTCACACTTTGTAGGACTTGCAACTGAATCTAAAGGGTATTCTAGCCGTTAGCATATATGATAAATATTTAAAGATCACAAGATTTAATAAAATTTGTTCAAGTTAATTACATTAATTGTTTTTTTCATGAGGCAAGTAAAAAAAATTGTCCCCCAGTTAAATAAAAATGTTGGATCAATGTTTGATTAAATCTCTGCCTTATATTCTACCGCTCTAAAGGATGCTGGCATTACATATGTTGAGACAAACTGATCAGCCATGAATTATATAGAGGGTGTGTGTGGATGCATGCTCTAGTTTGGCATTAAATATGGAGACAAAAAATATCAGTCTTCACTTTTATAAAGATATTAATAAATATTAAGAGATATAATATTATGTCAAATCCACTTATGTAATTATTTTTAAAAAAATATTATTTGTCTCATCATTGTTATTATTTTAAACATTTGTACTCCCGGACTTGATAAAAATTATTTATAGAAACTCCACAAATTACCTAAAGAATAATTTCTCTTGATAAGAATTCAAAAGAAAAAAAAGAAAGTAAATTATGAAAAATAATAATTAAACTCAAAATAAAATCAAGCATGTTGTTTAGATGCATTTCATACGGCCCAATAAATATCTTTGATTGAGATTATATTGCAACAGTAGAAAATTATCGTGAACCATTGACATATAATAATTTTTCTCCCCCACCAATATAAGATTAATAGGAAACTCACATTGTCACACTTTGTAGGACTTGCAACAGAATCTAAAGGGTATATATCACAAGGGTATTCTAGCCGTTAGCATATATGATAAATATTTAAAGATCACAAGATTTGACAAAATTTATTGAAGTTAATCACATTAATTGTTTTTTTCATGAGGCAAGTAAAAAAAAGTGTCCCCCAGTTAAATAAAAATGTTGGATCAATGTTTGATTAAATCTCTGCCTTATATTCTATCACTCTCAAAGATGCTGGCATTAAATATGTTGAGACAAACTGATCAGCCATGAATTTTATGGAGGGTGTGTGTGGATGCATGCTCTTGTCTGGCATTAAATATGGAGACAAAAAATATCAGTCCTCACTTTTATAAAGATATTAATAAATATTAAGAGATATAATATTATGTCAAATCCACTTATGTAATTTTTTTTAAGAAAATATTATTCGTCTCACCATTGTTATTACTTTAAACATTTGTACTCCCGGACTTGATAAAAATTATTTATAGAAACTCCACAAATTACCTAAAGAATAATTTCTCTTGATAAGAATTCAAAAGAAAAAAAAAGAAAGTAAATTATTAAAAGTAATAATTAATCTCAAAACAAAATCAAACATGTTGTTTAGATGCGTTTCGTACGGCCCAATAAATATCTTTGATTGAGATTATATTGCAACAGTAGAAAATTATCGTGAACCATTGACATATAATAATTTTTATCCCCCACCAATATAAGATTAATAGGAAACTCACATTGTCACACTTTGTAAGACTTACAACTGAATCTAAATGTTATATATCACAAGGGTATTCGAGCCGTTAGCATATATGATAAATATTTAATAATCACAATGTTTGACAAAATTTGTTCAAGTTAATCACATTAATTGTTTTTTCATGTGGCAAGTAAAAAAAATTGTCCCCTAATTAAATAAAAATGTTGGATCAATGTTTAATTAAATCTCTACCTTATATCCTATCACTCTCAAAGATACTGACAATAAATATATTGAGCCAAACTGATCAGTCACGAATTTTATGGATGCATGCTCTTGTCTGGCATTAAATATGGAGACAAAAAATATCAATCCTCACTTTTATGAAGGCTGTGGATACTGTGTCAGTTCTCAAGGCTATCCAACATTCAATGCCATTATGGATTCTAATAATTTTTAAAGTAGAAATTTTCAAGATAATCATTAAATACAACATATATATAACATTATATATATATGTATATTATTTTTAAAAATATAAATTGTGAACGACATATATATATATCCATAATAATTCATTAAATTAATTATTTTTTTTAATTTATGATTTTTATTAATTTCAAACATTCACTATTCTTTTTATTTCCCTATTAATATTGAAGTCTTTATTAAAATAAATTTCCCTTAATTGATAATTTGAAATTTTACTATTCTTTTAAATTAAAAAAATAATTACTGGTGAATATATAATGAAGTATTTTCTCCGCAGATGCAACCCTTATTATTAGTAACAACATAAATGTGAAAATCTCCTTGAACATGTTATTCTTTTTTTATGCTTTATTGTTGGTCTGATTAATTCCTAGGCTGGTTACAAATTTCAAGAAGAAAAGTTTTTGGCATAATGAACTTTTTTTTTTTGCTTGGATTGTAAATTGACCATTAATGTCCATCTGAATATAGCACATTACAAGTTAGGTTTGGTTTTTTTTTTTTTTTTCTTTTGACATACATAATTAATATTATTTTTTATATTTTTTTATATGCTCCCTTCGCCAATTAAATTCTTTTTTTATTTCATATATCTTTTTCATGTTAGTATTTTTTTGTAATGAGTTATTTTTTATACAAAGTGAAAAGAGTTTTTAAAATTCAATGTTGAAAATTGTCATGTATACTTATTGACACCCAAATTAATCCATAGAATGGGTCAAGGGGTTTAGACCATAAATGAATTGCTCAAGTGGAATCCAATTAGAGCAATTAATTTGTATAGGATCAATAATCACATTAATTAGATTAATCCTAATTGTGTGATATTTTTGGATTATTAGCTCAATTATTAAAGTTAAGACTTGATTAATTAAACAATTCCAAAGATAAATGAATTAAATAATTCCAAAGATAAATGAACATGGTCTTGGACCATGTTTAGCCTAAATAAAACAAGGAGTCTATTGCCTCGTGAATTTAATCCAATCAATAAGAGTTTAAAAAGTTCAAGATAATTTTAGAAGATAATGTCGCGAAGAAATTAAGAATCAATTTGTTGTCAAGGAGACGATACCGGAAAGTGAGGCAGAAGGAGCAAACCGGCAAAACGTTGTTGAGGATGTCCGGCCAACTAGAGTTGATGAACAACTGCCACGGTTGGTCGCTCAGTCTGCTCCGGTGACTGCTTTTCAAGCCAAACTTGAAAATATAGGCTTTAGTAAGAACTGGATATGTAACAGTATCAATTCTTCCATGGAATTTGTGTTTCAAAGCCAAAGTCATACTTAGTTGATGCCATGAACGTACTCAACTGGAATGTAATTCATCTGTCACACTCTCTCAGCATCCCCTCAACTACATCAAGCTCAGCTTTCATGGTAAACGATGTTCTCCAACTTGTTGCTATAGACAGGGGAAATGGGCAAAGTAATGAGCCTTTAGGATGAGAGGGTATGTCAATAACCATTCTTATACATTGATAATAATTATGAACATATAAATAATTAAAAGCTCATGCAAAGTATTAAGGTTAAGATTAGAAAAAAAAAACTTTTGAATTTATCACTTTATTTAAATAAGTTTTTTTTACTTTTATTAAATTTATATAAGCTCTTAACTTTTACTTTACATTCAAATAGTCTTTTATCCTTTAATTTATATCCAAATAGGCCTTTATCCTTTAATTTGTACTTAAATATACTCTTAACATAAATTAATTTTTATCTAAAATAAGGGCATATACTTGGATACAAATTAAAGAATATATACTTCTTTGAGTATGATAAAAATATAAAACTAAATAAAACATAAAATTCAGAGACTTTTTGAATATTTTAACCAAATATTAATTCATTTGATTGCGAAAGTTGCAAAAGTTATTCCTAAAATTTAAAACGTAATTATAAAATTAAAAATTTAGTTGATTTTACTTCTTGGTAAGAGGAAATCAAAGAAGAAAACTTGAAGTGTATTGAGAAATGATCGAACTTTTATAAATTATTTCATTTGAGTTATCTAATTTTTATTCTATTTAATTTTAATTTCAATTATGCTTATATTTCTTATATTTTATTTTCCCACTTACATTTATTTAAATTTAATTTTGAAAATTTTGAAATCAATCCAATCATCTTTCTTGGATCATTTATCTACCCTTAAGCCAACAATGTCCTTGGACTAAAAAGGTGTAGCATCTGTTTTGTTTGATTATTCTGATATTTTCTAGCTATTAATAATATTCTCATTTCTATAAAAGAAACTAATATAATAAAAAATGCAAACAAATAAACACGACTATAAAGCATATTATAAATTAAAATAAAAATTCATATGATTAAAAAACAATGTAAACATAGAGATTAAAGAAAACCGGAAGCTAAGTGGTTGGACAATCCACAAAATCACAAATGCTTGCTAATATTTTTTCTTCAAAGTACTTTGATTTATGGTTTATTCAACTTTATTTATTACCCCCGAATAATACATAAGAGGCTTGGTGATTGAGGAAAAGGTAAAAGGAAATAAGAAAATAAATACGGTTTAGTGGCTAAAATCTGATGATATGGTTTGAATATGCCTCAGCCTCAGCTCCATCCCAATTTAATTGCTTCTTCAAAATAAATCAATCCATCCTCAGCTTTCAATATGTTCCCTCAAATATTCTTTCCTTGGCCAAGGTTGCCTGCAATTTTTACATGAAAGTTCAAATCAAGGAAGTCAATAATGTTTTGATTTCTATAAGAAAATGAAAGAAAAATTTTCCATTGAAAGAGCAAAACCTGTTTTTTCCAATTTGTGAAAACAGCTACGGGTGTCAGCAGAATGCCTTCCACAGTGGAGCCTGCCAACATTCCAAGCCAAAGGCCCGAGCCTCTCAATTCCAGAACAAAACCACATAAAATCCCTGTCGGAATTCCAACAAGATAATATGCCCCAAGATTGGCGTAGGCTCCAATGTGCTGCCAACCAATTCCTCTAACAATCCCTGATGCAAAGATCGAATCAGCTATAATTTCACCACGTAAACATTTGGGTCAGTCTATCTTCATCTCACCGTTAATTTAATTTCTTTCACGTGAATGTCAGCTATTATGTGAACGGACAGGCGAAACCCACGTATCAGTATCAGTAAATGTGATTGATTGGCATCGAGGAATAAAAAATTAATGTCATCATTCATTTCTTACCAACTTAAAAATCTTTAATATAATATTTAAATTATAAATTTATTAATTTTTTTAACAAAATTAATTTTAAATAATAATACATTATTGATAAATAATTTTTCAAATTCTTAATAATTTCATAATTTTAACACTACATTATACCTTTTTAAAATTTAAATATTATATTAAATATTTTACTGTAATTTAATTACCATTCATAACATTGTCCTAAGAAAAAATGTGTGGTAATGGAGTCGTCGTAAATATTTTGCTTCATGAAATTAATGGTTGGGAACTAACCTGCAAGTCCTGCATGTAAGCTGTCCATGATTATTGAGAGGCAGCACAAGGGAACCAATTTGGTTACATTATCAATAACTTCCTTCTCATTGCTGAAAGCATATCCAAAAACGTAGCGGCAACAGAAAAGAATTGTGCTAGCAAGGACAGATTCTGCAAGAGTAACAACCATTACTACAAACGAAGCTGTTTGAGCTGCCTGTGGTTTTCCAGCACCTAATTCATTTGAAACCCGAGTGCTGCAATGTAGCAGAATGTTAGGAAATTTTGCTGCAAGACGTATAAATACTTATAATTTAACATAAATGGCATCTACAAACCTTGCAGCAGCACTAATCCCGTATGGAATGTAGAAATGCACAGACGTGGTTGTAAAGCTGCATATTGGAGGATCGAAAAACAGTTAGATGCAATAGCAAGTACTGAGAAGGAAGGTCCATATTTTTTAAGATAAAAACAAATGTTAATCACAGATCATACCATACAGAAAGAACCGATGTTTCAAGCTTTGAATTAGGCAAAAGTCCTGATAGCAATATAAGTATCTCAAAAGACCACCATTCAAGACTGTATTTGTTGCCAAGCAAGGAACAGATTAGGCATTGAAGAGTGATCAAAAGAATACATATTTTCTTGTTAATTATAAAGTAAGAATGAGTCAATTACCAAACCATTACAGCAGAAGGAACTCCAAAGCGAAAGAACTCCTTGACACTCGAGAAAACATCCTTAACGACGAGGACACGAGTTCTCTCGCATGATGATGAGTATCTCATGTATAATCCGAGCAAGATCACATTGAACCAATAAGACAAGCCAATCGCCAATGCTGCCCCACTATTTCCTAATCTTGTTTTGAATACCAAAACCCAACAAACAGGTATATGGAAGACTAGAGTTGCCAGTGTGATGAACATCATCGGAAGAATCATGCTCTGACATAGGAAGAATCGAATTTGTGATTGAAGAATGGCATAGGCAAAGAGTGCTGGTATGAGCCATGTTGCATATTTGCAAGCCACCATTGCAATTTGAGGGTCTTGGCCTATTAGCACTAATAGCTTGTCCATGAAAATCCAGACCAGGCATACCGGGATACAAATTGGAAGTATGGAGATTATTGCACAGTAAGTGTAGGTTCCTACCTTTTGATATTGCTTTGCTCCATAAGCTTGCCCACATAAAGTTTCTAAGCCACTTGAAAATCCCATCTGCATACCATATAATATATAAGTGTCAGTTAAATGGAATAAAAACTTGTTCTTAATCAATTTGTTTATTCTTCAAAACAATGGTTCTCGGGGCAAATCCAAATAGACAACCCAAAATATGGAAAATAAAAAAAGTTTAAGAAGGAAAATATTTTTTCTGAACACCTCAAAGACTGTAAAACAAAAAAATTTGAAAGAAAATTTACCCTGAACACCACAGAGTGAAAGACAAGAAAATTTAAAGGAAAATTTTTCTTAAACATCCCAAAATTTTACTCTGAACGCCGTTTCTGTTGATAAAATCGATAAATTATTGGTATTTTTTATATATATTGTAAGTGAATACTTTTTAAAAAAATCTTGAAACCGTCACTTTGGTTCTCCATGTGTATTTGTTGCAGAATCTGGCTAAGGAGGCTAATAAACTAAAACACCTTTAGTAATATTCATGTTAAAGAAGAGTTGAGAGGAAGAAAACATTACAAGGAGGCTAAAGCCAGTGACATTGCAGAAAGAGGTAGAAATAGCAACACCAGACAGCGCAAGCTCGCCAAGATGTCCTGCCATCATCAGTGATACGACTTCCTGAAGGTACAGTAACACTGCCATTGCTGCCACGGGCATTGCCAAGCAGCTCACCTTCTTAAGCTCTTCCAGGAAAACTGCCCATGCTGTTACCTCCCATAGTCTCCCTGCTTCTCTCTTTTCCAGCAGTGTCTCATCCATTCTTTCCTCTCTCTGTGTTCTTCTAGGCTTTTGTAGAAGGAATTGTCTCTAAATATGTCGTGAAGCACTTAATACTTAAATAAGATGCTCAACGCTCCTACTTGATTAGGATTTTAGTTTCAACGTGGCATTGTAAGTTTGAACAAAACGTAATGAACCAGTTGATCTGCTTTTATTATCATTGCACTGATCAACCGACAAAGACATCTACTTCCCTTATTTATTTATATTTTATAACATTTTTAATTTTTAATATACCTTGAACCCATCTTTTATCTAAATTACGAACAAAATCGTGACAACTCAAACCCAAGCAAAGACCTCATAGGTACCTCTAAAGGATCAGATGCCAACGAGCCGATGCTCAGTTGGGAAATGAAATTTTAAGTGAAAGATAAAATATGTTTTATAATTTATTGGGATGGACAATGAGGCTGAAAATACCGATGATAATTATTGTAGTATTGAGATTGGATATTATAACAGTGACATTAAATATTATAATGATGAGATTAAAATCAATAATAATATATAAATATTTGGATATATTAATGCAATAATTGTAGGGTAAAGTATAATAAAAAACTATTAAAGATATTATATTAAAATTTATACATAATAAAATTATTAGTATTTGATGTTTGTAAGATTAATAAATAATAAAAAATTAAATTACTTTATATAAAATAATATTTTTATTAATAGATTAAAGATTATTAAAATTATTTTTATATCAATTTACACTTAAATAAGATGTTCGATGCTCTACTTGATTGAAAGATTTAACGGCATGGCAAAATGTTATCTAAATGAAATTATAGATGAAGCTCAAATCTAATTATATCATACATGCAATTGAACGCAAAAAAATGACTGAATATCATGGATTGCAATTGCATGCAAGTGCAATCTTTAACCTTTCAAATTTGTCATTGAGAGAGAATATATATTGGAAACAATGTCGGTCCAAATTTAGATTTGAATTGAAATCACTTCCATAATTATTGCCATATATGGACAAAATGCCAAATGCCATAACAAAAGCATCGAACCATGATATGTATAATATTCCAGCATGCTTATCTTTAATGAGTTTTGCATTAAAAAATTATTTATAGACTAAAATACTAAAAATTAAATTATTTTACTTTTTAAATAAATTTTTATATTTTTGTTACATTTAAATTTTTTTATATTTATTCAAATAAATTTTTTTAATCTTCAAATGAAAAATTGATTTATGTTAAGAATTTATTTAAATATAAATTAAAAGTTAAAAATTTTTATATTTTTGTTACATTTAAATTTTTTTATATTTATTCAAATAATTTTTTTAATCTTCAAATGAAAAATTGATTTATGTTAAGAATTTATTTAAATATAAATTAAAAGTTAAAAATTTATTTGATATAAATTAAAAATTAAAAAATATTTGAATGTAAATTAAAGGTAAAGGAATTATTTAAATGTAATAAAAATAAAAAAATTTATTTAAATAAATGATAAAATTCAAGCACTTTTTTATTATTTTAACCTTATTTATAACATGCTACATTGATATAGATCATAAGCTGTTTATGATCAAGAGAAAACTGAAAAGAAAGAGAACCAAAGCATGGTTGCCTCAGGTAAAATGGCAAGTAGTAAAAACTCTGAAATAGTTTTAGTATTCCTTAAGCCTTAGCCTTCTTCCCACAATTCACTGTCACAAAGGGAACCTATTTGTAGGGGTGAGTGTAAGTTGGTTTCAATTGGTTTCTTCCATCAAAATTGATTGAATTTGATCAAGTCGATCGATTACTGTCATTTCAATCATTATTATCGGTTCAATAAATCAATTTAGTTAGATTAATTCAGTTTATTTTTAATTTTTAAAATTAATAATTAAATTCACTGAATTAACTGATATTTTAAATATATTTTTAAATATATTATATATAATATATATTTAAAATATTCTTATTTATATTTTAATAATAATAAATATGATAATAAATACATAATATTATTTGTGCCGATTTAAATGAAATTCATGATTTTGATGTATTCAATTTAAATTTATTCAAACATTTTGTCCATGTTTATTGTTTATTGGATACAATTATTTTATATATTATTTTTATTAATTAATTTTTAAGTAAAAAAAAAAGAAGAAAAGTCAAAAAAATGAAAAGTAAAAAAAAAAAAGAAAAAGCAAGAAAGGATGAGGTGAAATCAATAATGTAATCGATTGAATTTGAGTCGATATATTATTAAATTTAAATTCATATTTAACTCAAAATTTCAAACTTAAAATTTGATTAAAATTCGATCAAGTTTTATTTTTTTAAGTCAAATTCAACTCAAGATAAAAATCGAGCTAATTAAACTCATTCGATTAGGTTTGATTAACATATAAAAATAAGTTTGATTCTTATATTCGATAAAAGCTCAATTATTTGTATTTAAACTCGAATTCGAGTTCGAGATATTTTATTAATTAAAATAATTAAAATATATTAAAATATAAGAGCTCAATTAGGCTCGTGAGCTATTCGAATCAAATATAAGAATATTTAAATTTAATTCAATCGATAAGTCGAACTATTTGAACCTAAATTTAACTCGATAATAATCAAATTAAATTTAAATTTTATTTAAATTAAAATTAAATAACCTATAAATATTAATATATCATTTACAACATTAAAAGTAAGAGTAACATATGAAAAGCAAAAGTTTTCACCTCATTTTTTGTTGGTCACCACCTAACCAATTGAAAAAGGAAATTATAATCGCTGGATTTAAGGGATTTTAGTGGTTGGCTGCTACGACCCAATTTCCAACAAAAAATTTTATCATACGCATATTTAAATGTAATAAAAATATAAAAATTTATTTAAATAAAATGATAGAATTAAAGTACTTTTTTTTATTATTTTAACCTTATTTATAACATGCTACATTTGCAGTAAAAACTCCGAAATAGTTTTGGTTTTCCCTAGGCCTTAGCCTTCTTCCCACAATTCACTGCCACAAAGGGAACCTATTTGTAGGAGTGAGTATAAGTTGGTTTCAATTGGCTTGATTGATCAAAATTATTGAATTTGATTAAGTCGTTTGGATAGTTTAGGTTTGGTAATAATTATTGATTCAATAAATCAGTTTAGTTGACCAATTCAATTGATTTTTAATTTTTAAAATTATTGATTTAATATATTTTTAAACATGTTATATATAATATAAATTTGTTTATATTTTAAGAATGACAAATATGACATTTGTAACAAAATTATAAAATCAGTTTTATTGGGTGAAAAATGTTATAAAATTATATTCAAAATTAGTTGCAAAAGAATGGTGAAAATTCAAAATTTCAATTGAATCAACAAATTTTATGTTTGTTCGGCTATTTTTAGTTATCAAAAATAGATCAATCAATTTAGTACTTTTAAGGATAATCCTTTTTTTTATTATTTTTCAAAACCAAACCTACTTATTGCACACCCTATCTATTGGCATGATTATTAAACAAAATAAATTCTTCATCATTTTTTTTTATTTAAGTACCATTAATTATTTAAAAAAATTATTATTTTAATAAAATTCTAAAATAAATTAAGATGAATAAAAGCATAATTTTATTCTTTCAAAATATAGTTTGAATTTGAAAGTATGGTTATATATATGAAAATATTAGAATCCTCACAATACTATTCAAAAATTGATACTCATTGATTATATGTTATTCTTTATTTTTGATAAAATGATCCTTTTTTAATATTTAAATTTAATCCCTCAATTTTTTTTTAAATAAACTCTTTTATTTAGGAATAAAATAAAAAAATCTCTAATGTTTAAAATATTTTCAAAATTTCACGACCATGGAAAAATTAGAATAAATGTTCCTCCACTTGAGAATTTTCAAAATAATCCTTTAATTAAGAATAATAATTTTATAAAAAATAATTGTTGAAATTTCCCCAACACCCTAGCAAAATCCCAATAATTAATTTTGCTAAAGGATATCATCTTGTTTGTGAACATCAAATTTGTCCGACAAAATAATAATAATAATATTATTATTAAATACGAAATACAAAAAATATAAAATATAAAATATAAAATACAAAATACAAAAAAAAGAATAGAAAAAATGGGTGACGGCAGTCACCATACCCTACCACCTTACCCTACCCTTTTGATCACCCATATCACTGCCCGTTTACTCTGTTACCCATACTCTATTTACTACCCTCACTATCAGATCAAACAAAAAACAATAAAAAGGGCATGGGGCTCGTGCTTGCACCTCATGCCGAGCCCTATGCCACGCATGGCCGGAGCTCTATAAATAGAGCTCTTGGCTGAACCATTAAAAGAAAAAAAGCAAGAAGAGGGAGTGACGCTGCAAAAAAAATATATTACCAAAAAAAATAAACAAACAAAAACATAGTCCTCCTCGTAGGGAGGAACCTCGGCACCAAAACTCCCTGCAAGAACAAAAAATCAGATTAGTCTTCGTTTTATAAAAAAAAAAAGGGAAACAGAAAACTTAAAACAATTCAAACCTCGATTTACATCGATCGGGGCTCGCTCTCCCGAAAAGGACATCAGATTTGAGTTCAGGAGGCCAAGAGGAGCATTACGATGAATTTCAGTAATTTTTTGGTTACCAACGATCACCGGTTACGACCGCCGCTAGCGGCCTAGGCGGCAGCTGGCATGACAGTCCGACGATCGGACGGCGAGGGCTCTGGAGCTCTCCCCAGAGCTTTCCCCTCTTTTTTTTTTCTAAAACAGAAAAATAATGAACAAAATTTTTTTTTCGTTATATATAAAAGCCTAAAGCTCAAAATGATGCCGTTTAAGCCAGGTAGGATTCGCGCATGGACCCAGACCTGACCCGTGGTCCGTGCAACCAACCTGTCAACCCGGCTCCTCAGCAACTTTGAATCTGTTTGATCAGACCGGATTGAATCACTCCCTACATCGGCTCAACCGAATCGCCTGTCGAACTGAACATTTTTTGGTCCAACCGAACCACGCATTGACCGGTCTGATTTAGGTAAAAAAAAAATTTTTTTAGAAATTTTTTTAATATTATTTTGGTTATTTTAATTATTATTTTATTAATATTTATGTATATTAAAATATTTATATTTGATAGATCAAATGATGAAATTTTTTTATAATTTTGTTAATTTTTAAAATGAACTCTAAGAATAAAAAATAAACTTAATGAATAAT